GACATAGAAGTGCATTGTTGTCCTTGAAAAGCAAACTCTTGTACAAAAGTATGTTGGGCCCATGCTTTGCTTTTGCCTCTGAGGGTACTTTTCCTTAATTCATGCTTACAAATCCAGCTTAGGCACGACTAAAAGCTGCTAACCACCATACTTTTTTATCTTGCTTCAAGAACAAGCCAGCACGCTAGCATGATGTTGGTACTTTTTACTTCTCCAAGCTACAAAGTTCTTGCTTATAAATTGAATTCCATTTGTAACTATGAAAGGGGCCGGGGAAAAATTGAAAAGAAAAAGCCTTGAAACCTTGCTAAAATTTCCAGGAATCCGAAACTGCAAACACAAATACAAAACTTGTTAGTTTTTTATTCTTGCATTCAAACTCCAATTTCCCTCAAGCGTTTCTTGACTAAATCATCCATACACCATTCATAACCCAAGTTAAAGGTTATTCCAGTCTGTTGAGTACGTGAGGAAGCTGGTCAGAACATTACAAGCAGTCAGAACCAGGATTTAGCTCACAAAACATTTTCCAGCTGCAAGGTAAGCTTATGCTAGCCCTCATCATGTCACTTAAGCATTGTTAGACTTGCATGTTCAAAATACAATGTAGACATCCTGATTCTGATGCTATACCTATTTAGAGGTTTCATGTATTTGCCTGCCTAAATAGGAAAGACATCAGTTCATAACTTCTTAAGGAAACTAGGATTAGCAGATACTTGTTTGTTTTTGGTTTACAGTCTTAACATTTTTTATGTTTTTGAAACCATGATGAAAACCTGCCATAATTGATATGTTTGTGTTTTCTGTTCTGTTAAGAAATGACTAAGTTGTAGATGTTCTGATTAGCATGAAGAAAGGGGTGGAGTTTATCATCAGAATCTACTTTATGATACATATTTATGCTTTTGTTTCTGATACCGGATGTACATTCATCCCAGTGGTAGACAGTGTGTACGCATAAGACATTAGTGCTAAGGGTCTTGGGTTCTAGCCTTAGAAGCATATTTTTTGGTTTATTTATTGATATTTTTACCCATTTATTTTTCAGACAATACTCCTAGATCAGAACTTTTAGACAACCTTACCCAACAACATTATCACCTCACTCCCTCAAATAGCCAGAACTTCTGACTTACCAGTGATATATAAACTTCTAGGTTCCCAGCTACACTATAGCTTCTGAACCCCTTCAACAATCAGAACTTCTAGGTTTTCCTTTATTCCCAGCAATTTCAGAACTTGGTGTACCCAGGCCCAGAACTTCTGACCCTCCACTTTCTCACTAACATTTTCTCTTTTGCAGCGTATCAGAGTCATAACTTCTGTTCCTTCTCGTTTCAGCAATGTGCTGATTCTGACTCCTTTTTCTCTCATTTATTTTATTTTAGCTTTTAAATAACCAAAAACACCAAAAATATTTCATATTCACATACTTTATTTTATTTCTTTGAGAACAAAAAGATCAAAATATTTTTCGTAAGTAAACTTATTTCTTAACAAAAACAAAACAAGTCCATTTTACATTTCTTGTATACTATTTCAATATGGTTGTAATAGATAATTAGGACTTTAATTTTTTGCAATCCCCATTTGTAAATTTTTACACCCCATCCTCTTAATGATATAATAGTGTAGGACTTTACTTTTCCCGCACTTTTATTGCTTTCATATATTGTTAGTAATTAGGGTGTGTATGGCAAGATAAAAACAACAAATAGACAACCTAGAAATCAAAGACTAAATGCATGCAATCAAACACACTATTCACACATGCACCCTTAGGGTAATTTCACTTGTTGCCTATCGGAAAATAGTCATGTCCCTCGAACATGGGCGTTTTAGCAAAGACCCTCGATAAAAGATCATAGTCCCTCGATGGCCCTCGGTGTTGCCTTCGGTAAACAATCTAGTCCCTAAACGACATTGCTAAAACGTCTCATAGGTTGCCTTCTATGACTATACAAATGTCCCGCGCCCGTCCCTTCACATCCAACGATGGGGCTTCTTATCAATCAATGATAAGATAACAACATCTAAAGGAGGAAGAAAAGAATATTTAAGACCTTTTGAGTAGGTGGATTCGCTCCTAGTTGCTCGCTTGCTCACAACAAAAACATTTTATACACCAACACTTTCACTTTGAAACATTTTCAAAAGACAACACTTTGTACGCGTTCATATAGAAACGAGAGCCATTACAAAGAAGACGCCTTTTCAAAATCTCTTTCAAAAAACACATTCCACAAACACCTCTTTGAACTATTTTTGAAACAACACTTTGTACGCGTTCTTATAGAAACGAGAACCATTACAGAGACATTTTCAAAATACTTTCAAAAACCCACACCACAAGCACACATTCAAACAAAAACAAGTGATCTAGCAAGCAACTAAGAACCCGTAGATAACTACGGATAAAAGGGTGCTAATACCTTCGCTTTTCATAATCTACCCTCTGAACTCAGAAAACATCTCTAAAGGTCTTTCCTGTTCTTTTCAGCCTTTTCTTATTGGATAAAAGAAAAGTCGGTGGCAACTCTTTCTATCCGCAACATTTGCGATCAAACATAAAACAACCAAGTCAGTTCTCCCACCATGTTACACTTAGTTTCTAAAAGACAACGTGTTTCAAAGAAGACAAAGTTAAAAGATCTGAAGACCACGTTTCTAACTGAAGTCTAGATGCTGAAGACTTTGTGTTTCTAATAACAAGGTTCTAAAGACAAAGATTCTTAAAGAACCAAGTGCTAAAGACTCTAAAGACAGAAGGTTTGAAGATTCCAAAGACTTGAAGTTCTAAAGGTCCAAGGTTATCTATAACAGGTTCTCAAGACCAAATGCTGAAGAATCTAAAGACGCAACTCTCAAGACTCTGAAGACTTGAAGCTCTTTTGATCCAAAGATTCACTACTACGGGTTCTCACGATCAAGTGTTAAAGACTATGAAGACGCGACTCTGAAGACTCTGAAGACTTGAAGTTCTGAAGACCTTATTTTATGTTCCCGCTTCTAATCTCATGCTCGGAGAAGCCTCTGAAGTGCAGAAGGAAATAATATAACAGTAACATACTACAATAGTACACTGTACGAAAAGCTTTATGCCACTACCTCTCCACTAACTTGAAGTGTGGAAGAGATAAGGATGTAGCAGTACTATTTATAACGATTCTTTTTCAAATAGCCAATGGCTTTATTTTGCTTGGCTATATAAGAAATGAATCATATGTTTAAACAGTTGATGAGCTTGCTGTAAATTGTTCAAGACTGCAAGTTTCAAGTCGCAAGTTGTTGATGTTCAATGTTAAAAAGGAAAGCTTCCATTATTAGAACACAACCAAAAATCTACCATCCACTATAACAATATGAATATTTCTACAAGATGTTATTCAATCTACCAATCATATACATCTTGGCAAAATCATGAAAAAGTAAGGAGTTGTTGCTCATATCTTGCTTAATGAAGAAAGAAGATAAAGATGAAGAATTGTACAAGATGTCATTCAAATCATTAGTCATATACATCTTGATAGAATTATGAAGAAGCAATGAGTTGTTGCTCATAGCTTTCTCAATGATGAAGACAAGAAGACTACAAGATGTTGCACTTAACTTAGATTATATTCATCTTTGTATAAATATGTAAAACAAAAGAGTTGTTGCTCAGATTGTGTTATTTCTTAAGATCTTCATGTAAATTGTTTCTACACAAGAGTTGTTGCTCATGATTGTGTCAAACAATATGTACTTAAATTAAGAGTAATTTGCTTGATAAGAAGCACTCATGTAATCTCGAGAAAAACAATTCTATTTAGAATTGGTTGGTTCCTCAAGTGATCGAGTGAAGATCAGAAGGCTTGAGAATATTTTGGCTGTGGCCATCGTAGATGAAATCCTGGTAGTGGATTCTATTGGGTCAATTGTAGTCATATCTCAAAGGGGACTAGGTGAAGGTTAGTCTTTTGAGATCACTGATGCATATCATAGGGAAAAAAATTCTAGTATGAGATTCTGGTGAATCAGATTCTATTGAGTTAATGAACGTTATATTCAATCTGGATCCCTGAACGCGTCATTAGATGTTAGTCACCGGAGGTTGCCCGTGCGATTGTAATCGAATTGATTATAATGGATTAAGTCCTTGAGATCAAGGCGAAATCACCTCGGAATGGTGGAATGGACTAGCTTGGGAGTTTCTCAAGTGAACCGGGATATATCGCGTGTTCTTTACTTTTACTTATGCTTTAGAGTTTATGTTTTCTGAACTTAATTAGAAATATTACTTTGAAGTAACAATCACAAGTATTTTTCAACAAATAATATTTAGAAGCGAAAGTTTTCAAAGAAAGGAAAACCCAATAATATTCGAATAGACAAATCAAATATTCATAAATCCGAATAGACAAATCAAATATTCATAAATCACCGATGCAACAAATAAATATATACCAATAATATTCTTATTAAAAAATCAATTGGAAAATAAAAAATTAAAATAAAATTTTAAAAGGGAGGCGCCAATACATTACCGCTATCACTAGAGTGGAGCCAAATATCCCATCCTAGGGAACAATGAAGAGAAAGATTGTTGAAATGCTAGTCTTCCATAGGAAGGATATGGGTACATCAAACAAACTTCTGATAGGCCAATTCCTTGGTTCAAGGACTGTGAGAAAATATGAGGAACCCTCGTAAGTGTTTTGACGATGATAACACTAATGATTATTGAAAAATATGATCGCCAAAGGCTTGTGGTTCCTCACATTGAAAAATATGACAAAACCATACTGCTCAAAAAGACTTCAGGTGAAGAAAATCAATTAGAGAGAAGGAAGAGTTTCTCTCTCATTTCTTTCAAATTGAATCCGCACATGAAAGTTGACATTTCTCTGAGTTTTGTTTGAATTGTAACTTTATATTTGTTGGACTTTTCTTTGAGTTTTGTGTTATAAATAAACTGAAATCAAATTCAACGATCAAAATCCTAACAAGTAACTAATATGGCGCAAGTTAAGAACACGCAAGTGATTCTGAAGGATTATGTTACTGGTTTTCTTAAAGAATCAGACATGAACATAGTTGACAGTACCATAACTCTTAAGATTCCAGAAGGTTCCAACGATCTTGTTCTGCTAAAGAATCTCTACTTGTCTTGTGATCCATACATGCGAGGTCTGATGAACAAACCAAAAGAATCTGTCATTCCTCTTGCCTACACCCCTCAATCTGTAAGTCAATATACTTTTCTGAGCAAAACCCTTTTCTGTATATGCAAAATTAAGCCTTAAAGTGTGTTTTTTTATGTGTAAATTACTCCATGCACTGCATGGGTCAACTTGTTGGTTGGCTGATTTGTGCTTAAAACTCATTGATGTGTAGTTTGTGTGATTAGAATTTCAGTTCTATTATTAAGCTGAGATGGAAATTAATCAAAGAGTTAAAGTTGTATTATGCAGCTACTGATAATTTTTTAGTAATTGCAGCCGATAGCCGGTCGTGGCGTGTCGAAAGTTCTGGAATCTGGATACCAAGATTATAAGGAAGGTGATTTGGTTTGGGGGTTTACTAAATGGGAAGAGTACAGCTTGATTCCTGCAGCTCAAATACTTTTCAAAATTGAGCATACTGATGTTCCACTTTCTTACTATACCGGAATTCTCGGTATGTATTCAATAATTTCAGTTTATGTTATGTTATTTTGTCATTGTGTTGTGTCTTTTGACGTATGATTTGTTTTTGTTTGAGTACAGGTATGCCGGGAATGACTGCTTATGCTGGTTTCTTTGAAGTAGGAAGTCCTAAGAAAGGAGAGAATGTTTTTGTTTCAGCTGCCTCTGGTGCTGTTGGTCAGCTTGTTGGCCAATTCGCCAAATTGCACGGTTGCTATGTCGTTGGAAGTGCTGGAACTAAAGAAAAGGTGGATCTGCTGAAGAATAAATTTGGATACGATGAAGCCTTTAACTACAACGAAGAGCAAGACCTCAACGCAGCATTAAAAAGGTCAGTCAGTCTATAATAGTTTCTCAATGGAGAATTTTAGTTTTGTATGGTTAGTTATTGACATAAAAAGTTTAGTTATCGCGTATAGTAACATCAATTTATGTAAATCAGGTATTTTCCGGAAGGCATTGACATTTACTATGAGAACGTTGGAGGAAAGACACTTGATGCTGTACTCTTGAATATGAAACTCAATGGACGCATACCTGTGTGTGGAATGATCTCACAGTACAATCTTACGCAACATGAAGGCGTAACGAATTTGGCACATCTTGTATATAAACGGATTCGTATGCAAGGTTTTGTTGTAGGTGATTTCTATCACCTGTATGCCAAATTCTTGGAGTATGTCCTTCCTTATATCAGAGAAGGGAAAGTTGTGTATGTGGAAGACATAGCTGAGGGACTTGAGAAAGGCCCAGCAGCATTGGTGGGATTATTTAGTGGTCAGAATGTTGGTAAACAAGTGCTTGTTGTTGCTCATGAATGAATGCTAGTGCTTTCATTTGATTGTTTTAGTGTTGAATAAGAACCTCTCTTGTATTATGGCCTATAGTAATGATTGTAATTGCTTGCTTATGTGACATATTATGATAAATAAAACCTCTGCTGTATGCTTTTTTGTTACTTCTATATGTTTATTGCTGACTTAATTAAATTAGTTTTGTCCTTCATACATTAATTCCTCACAAATTTTATATAGTGTTAACACTTCAAATTGAATGTGTGTTAACTATTAGATTTGTGTTGGTATTTGACACTAACACGATAAAGATAATCATATTCAAGCAGTTATATTTTATGTTCAGTATTTTTATCGATACATGAATATGTGTTGGTATTTGAATATGTATTTCAACCAGAATTTCATTTTTGCTTAAAAAATTATGTTATAGAAGAAACTTGTTTAAGCGGTTATGGAAGAATCACATAGACTCACATTTTAAAAGCTCAACATGATGCACAATTTTTTTTAGGTTATGGAAGAATCACATAGACTCGCATTTTAAAAGCTCAACATGATGCACAATTTTTTTTAAGTTGATGATTTATAATTATTAACTCGTTTACATTAATGCATAAATATAAATAAATGTTGGCCTTAGATATTAAATCCTGACCCAACAAGTTATACTCATTTAAATTATCTACAAAATTGATTTTATAATTAATACTATTAATTTTTTACAAGATACATAAATACGTCTAGCCTCTGGAGAACCTTGTGTCTCCTCCACGACACAACCTGAAGAAGGCAAATTAGGCCAAGACCTGGCACCAGAGTTGAAGATCTTACAATGCCAAATGGCCATAATTTGTTTATCTAGTAAAATGCTATACAACATCCTTGCTGATGATGGTAGTACCATCTTCTAAGAAAGCTAACTCTGAAACCAAGGCAATATGATCGCTACCCCATCTCTGCACAGTTATGGAATGAAAAATTAAACAATTAAGTAATAAAACACATGTTTCAAGCAGCAGTGAAAAGGAATAAGTAAAGAGAAGTGCATTTCAGTTATGAGGACTTGTAATCCACTTTTGAAACGATAACCATATTACTACTACATTGACAATAAGAGCCTCTCACCCAAATCAGTATTATGGTATAAACCTACCATTCTGCTAACTTTCAAACAAAAAATACAAACTTATTCTTACCTTAGTTGGGTATCCTTGAGAGCTTTCCATGACATGTTTAGGTATTGGAGCAAGAACTCTGGTTGTTTGCAGACCTTGAGATCGCCTATGAGAAAGATCAAGGGAAAAATGTGTATTTCTGTCAACTTTGATCAGAGTTAAGAATACATAGTACACAATGGTTTCTTTTGAACACTAATTAATACTCAAACATATCGATCAGGTATGTAAATAGAAAAAACTTTAGGCAACTGCAATAACTTAGGCAATGACACTTTTTGATGATATTTGCTACAATTTAAAATGATAGGCTTAAATGCACTTTTGGTCTCCTATTTTCACGTTTTAGTCCCTAAACTTTACCTCACTAGAGATTTTGTTGGTCCCCCTATAGTTTTGCATCGTGGCGCTCTTATTAATGACATGGCACTGCTACAGTAACTCCCTACAATTTGTGTTCATCTAACGTGGAGTTACTGTAGCAGTGTCATGTGGGCGCCACATATGCAAAACTAGAGGGGAACCAATGAAATCCGAGTGAGGTAAAGTTTAGGGACCAGAAAATTGGTTTTTAAAATAGGGGGACTAAAACTTAAAAAACGTGAAAATAAGGGGATCAGAAGCGCATTTAAGCCAAAATAATATAAGCATCTAGGAGAGCAAAACAGTTGTAGAAAAACTTAAGAACCTAGTACGTACCAAATATAGTCAACAGTGCCCAAGAAGCACTTGTTGTAGCTGGTTACTAAGGGTTCGCCATTGGGGTCTCTAGTCCCTGAAGAGTTCTGCACATCAGAAAGAATGCCGAGTTCAATGACATGAACATGAGAAAGCGGCAATTTTAAAATAAATATGAAAATGAAATTCTTTTAGATCTACCGTAGCTTCAGTGTATGTACTCTTGAGCAGTAAAGGGTGCTCCAAGAATGTGCTCTCTGCATTTCCTGTTGCAGTTTCTATCTCAGCAGGGGTCCACAATGATGGATTATAAGTAGTTTTCTCTGCATCAATAGATTTGGAAATCAAACTTGGAAATAAGTCATCCTTCACTTCATTGCTTTCTGCAGGCAGCATCGAGAGTCGTTAGAAGCAGAATCTAACGTCCAAAACTCATGATATTTAGAGATCTGATTTCGCAGATGGGTCATGTTCAAGATCAATACCTTCTTCGGCATTATGTAAGGCATTTATGAAGTCAATGGCATCTTCACCAACATCCACAATGCTTAGATCGGCTTTATCTATATCATCAAGGGAAAAATTCTCTAGTTTTTCATTTAGAGTAAAGTCAAAGTTGGTAGGTGTTTGTGATTCGTCAACTAGATATGCAATTGATGAGCAATTCGTTTGGTCATTAGAAACTGAAGTCTTGCTCAATGGTTTATTTGAAGATACTTCTTGGTTAAGATCTGTTGACTCAAGATCTATCTCCACCTTTGAAGTTTGATCACCTTCTTGAAGAGACGTTGGGGAACAGTTAGACTCTTCGAGCCTATTCCCTTCATGTTCATGCAAGTTGGAGTTTTCACTCAATGATTCTTGACTTGAAGTTGAGATAGCGTCTGATATATGTTCTGTGTTTCCTATCCCGGTTGGGTTAGTGTAAACTGTCTCAAGAGCTGAAGACGTTATAGGTGTGACATCATGAATTTCATCATCATTTATATGATCAGTTGGGAGTCTTCTACCAATATGATTAGAAGGATTTGGCACTTCTGTCATGCCATCAACTTCACCAAAAACCGTATTATGGTGAACAGCCCCCCGAGTATCTTTTCCTGCACATGCATCACTCTCCCTACTACACTGCACATTTATCGGATTAGACATATCCAAAGCAGGGCGGCAATCTTGATTTTCAGAACTGCTACTCTCAGTGGTTAGATTCTGCATGTCTGACAAAGAACTCTTTTGTTCAATAGTAACTCCCTTGTCACCTTCAGCGGATGCGGTCTGAACTGAACCATTAGCAAATGTTTTTTCCCTGCATTTATTTGGAAGATTTTAGCAGATATTGATTGTAAAAGCAAGAAATTTAACAAACTTCATCATGTAAACAAATCAAATGCAGAAATCTATCTACCTAGAATTAGGACCATAAGCCCATGGTGCGCGAATTACAGCAGAAGCTTGCCCTGATACTTTATTCCTATCAATTCCAGATAGATCTAACTGTGATGATACAAAAATATCATTGCTGCAGCTTCGTAGGTGTCAATCATCAGATTAACAAAGTAAAAACTAAAGGGTATACCTTTTGTTCTGCGATAAAGTTGTATAATGGACTCTGCAACAAGATAAAGAATGTTAATGCCATTGAGTAGAGGCTGTTACCAAACTTTACAAACTGATACAGAAAAAGCGTAATAATAAAAAATAACCTTAGGGGTACAATTAAAATCCCCACAGATAATAATAGGGGAATTATTCCAAAGTTGAGAAACAGCTTGAGCCTTATCCAGTAGGACTCTGACCTGCTTGGAGTAAAAATGAAGCAAAAAGCAATTACAAGAATTAGAAATCACATGACAGAGTCAGCTGTTGATAGAAGACATAGCAGAGATAGAAAATATAGGGAAGCTTTTCATTTCTGTTATTTGAACTGCAAAGTTAGTTACAGATAGTGCACACAGTTGCATTTATAAGGCAATCTGTGTGACCTGCTACAGCAGGTAGGCAAGCATACAGGACATGACAAGTGCCAGTCATAACAAGCTTAAAACAAGGCTTAACGCTTCTATTATTTGCCTTACTCTAATACCCCCCCCCCCCCCCCCCCCCCCCCCCCAAACTCATGGGGAGCTGCATGAAGCAACCCTGAGTTTGTGTCTGAAATCCAGGAATTTAGCAGAAGAGAGAGGTTTGGTGAGCACATCAGCAATTTGATCCACACCAGCAATGTGAGCTACACAAATCTGCTTGGCAAGAACTCTTTCTCTCACAAAGAGGTCAATTTCCATATGCTTCGTCCTGGAGTGCATAATGGGATTGTGAGCCAGCATCACTGCAGACTGATTGTCACACAAAACCACTGGCTGTTTTGCAGGTACACTGAGTTCAGCTAACAAGGTTTGAAGCCAGAGTAAATCAGCAGTGGCCTGAGCTAGACTCCTGTATTCTACTTCTGTGCTGGACCTGGCAACCACGGGTTGCTTCTTGGACCACCAGGATACTAAATTTCCTCCAAAATAGATGGCTGCACCAGACGTACTACGTCTATCATCAGGGTCTGAAGCCCAATCAGCATCACAGTAAACTTGAAGAGAGGGAACTGCAGATGGAACATAAGGAGAGAGAGAGATGAAGACCATACTGAACAGTATCCTTGAGATATCGAAGAATCCTCTTAACAGCAACCCAATGCGTTTCAAGGGGGTGAGACATAAACTGGCAAACTTTATTTACAGCATAGGCAATATCAGGGCGTGTAATGGTTGCATATTGAAGGGCACCAACCACTGACCTGTACATATAAGGATCAGCAAGAGCAGGGGAGCCAAGTTTAGTTAGTTTGCAGGAGGACTGCATAGGAGTGGCAACAGGGGCAGAATCAGCCATGTGAGTTCTGTGCAATAAATCCCTAACATACTTGGATTGAGTGAGGAGAAGAGATCCTTGAGCAACAGATTTTACTTCAATCCCAAGAAAATAATCCAAGTCTCCCAAATGTTTGAGAGAGAAGGCAGCATTGAGTTGATGAATAATAGACTGAAGCAGGGTAGTATTGTTGCTGGTGATGATAATGTCATCCACATACACAAGTAAATAAACAGTGTTACCATTGGCAGCAAGGATGAACAAGGAAGGATCGCACTTGCTGGGTTTGAAATGCAGTCTAAGGAGGGCCTCTTGCAGCCTTTCAAACCACTGCCTAGGAGTCTGCTTCAGGCCATAGAGTGCTTTATGCAGTTTGCACACAAGAGAGGAATCTGAGCTGACAAAGCCAGGGGGTTGATCCATATAGACTTCTTCATGAAGAAGCCCGTTCAGGAAAGCATTGTTAACATCAAGCTGCTGAAGAGACCATTTGTGGGTGAGAGCAATGGTCAGAATGAGTCTGATTGTAATTGGCTTTACAACAGGAGAGAAGGTCTCATTGAAATCACACTCTTGCTTCTGATGAAACCCTTTTGCTACAAGGCGTGCCTTGTACCTGCTGACAGAGCCATCAGGATTCTCCTTGATACGAAACACCCACTTGCAGCCTATAGACTGCCTATGAGGAGGAAGGGGAACAAGAGTCCAGGTGTTATTGCTACTCAGAGCATCAAATTCAGACTGCATAGCCTCTTTCCACTTAGTATCTGCAAGAGCCTGCTTTACAGTCTTGGGTTCTGTATGAGTGAGTAGCACCTTTGGTTGCACAAAGCCAGTTTTAGCTCTTGTGACCATAGGATGTTGATTAACAGGTTTGGAGCTAACTGCTACAGCATTAGGAGGTAGGCAGCATGGTGTAGGGGTAGCTGTCAGAGGTTTTGAAGGAGATGCCATAGAGGACAGCTGAGAGGGAGAAGAAAGATTTGTTACAGGGTCAGTAAGAGAGGGAGAGATGTCCCCTCCTAGACTTGTAGAAGGAGAAGAACTGGAGGGAATGACAGGGGCAGGTAAGTTATTAGAGGAAAAGGGGACAGCTGTTAGTGGCACAGGCTTGGGAAGAGGGATGCTGGGAAACAGGGAGGATAGAGATGATGAAGGTGTCTGACTAGTAGGTGTATTGCCATTCAGGGTAGGAGAAATAGGTGGAGAAAATAGCTCTAGATAGGGAAATCTGGATTCATGGAACAAAACATCTTTGGATATATAAAGCTTGCCACTAGGGGAAAGACATTTATAACCCTTGTGAGAGTTGGAATAACCCAAAAACAAGCATTCATGGGACCTGAATTCCAGCTTGTGCGCGTGATAAGGTCTCAGAAGAGGGAAACAAGCACAGCCAAACACCTTCAGAAACTTGTAGTCAGGAGCAATGTGAAACAGAAGAGTGTAGGGAACCTGGAATTGAATAGCTGAGGAGGGAAGTTTGTTGATGAGAAAGACAGCTGTGGTGAAGGCATAATCCCAGTATGTTAATGGTAGAGAGGCTTGACTTAACAGAGTCAAGCCTAGATCCACAATGTGCCGATGCTTCCTTTCCACCACTCCATTTTGGTGGTGAGTATGAGGGCAGATAACTCTGTGCACAATGCCAAGGTCAGAAAGAAACTTGTTGAAGGGACGAAATTCTCCACCCCAATCTGACTGAATAGCTTTGATAGGAAAACCAAATTGTAGTTCCACAAGAGACTTAAACTGCTTGAAGACACCAAGTGCTTCAGCTTTGGTTTTAAGCAAATACAGCCATGTGAATCTGGAAAAGGCATCTACAAATGAGATATAGTAGGTAAAGCCTTGTGCTGAAGGTTGAGGAGAAGGTCCCCACAAATCACAATACACAAGCTCTAAAGGGTGAGAATAAGTGGTGTGTGAGGCAGGTGAATGCAATTTATGTAATTTACCCACACAACAAGCAGAACAGAAAAAATCATGAATTTTATTGCTAAATTTGAGATTACAACTTTGCAACACCAATCTCAAAGTGTTGATATTAGGATGGCCTAGTCTTAAATGCCACACATTGGACAAAGCAGGAGAAACATCAACAGTATTAACAGAAGGTGCAAGTTTGTTTAAAGAAGCTAAGGGCTTAGTGGACACAGCAGATTTGGAAAGGTTGAGCATAGGGAACTCATACAGCCCATCAGACCCCACATGACCAGTTAGCAGAACAACGCTAGATACTTGGCATTTGACAAAGCACGAATCAGCTGTGAAAAGGAAGTATACCTGATTGTCACGACAAAACTGACTCACACTTATGAGATTCTTGGTAATAGATGGCACATGTAAGAGATTATTAAGTGTGAGAGGTGTGTGAGGGTGATTTTGAGAAAGAAACTGACTAGAACCAGTAGAGTTGATGAGAAGACCTTGGCCATTGCCTATGTAGATTTGTTCATGACCCTCAAAAGGTGTAGCCTGCTGCAGATTATTGGCATCATTGGTGACATGATAGGAAGCTCCAGAATCAGAATACCAGGACATAGCAGAGGAAGAAGGAGCGGCATTGGCAATGAATGTGCTGGGAGCAGAATAGGTAAGAGCTGGCCTTGCTTGAGCAGTTGGAGGTCGTGTCCACACATTAGCAGGGAAATGACCATAGGGCACCTTAGGAAACTGCCAAGGGGCGGCATGATAGGGACTGCTACTGTAAGAGGGAGGCTGAAGGTTCTGATTAAATCTATGCCAGCAATTTAAAGCTGAGTGTCCAACTTTGGAGCAAACTTGACACTGAACTGTAGAATTTCTGCCACCTGAACCTTTTCCACGACCACCTCTGTTGGATCTGCCACCTCTAAAGCTGGAATACTCAAGCTCAGCACAAGACGGAGCTACTTGTGAGTGAGCAGATTCAGTGCTGCCAGATTGAGGATTTTCAGGGGAAGCAGCTTGAGGTGAAACATGTGTAAGATTGAGAGATCCAAGATCTGGCACAGTAGTCTTCTTAAATCTGTTCAGCCTCAACTCATGTGCAACAAGGAGAATTTCCACTTCATCCAAATCCATATCACCAAACTTACTCTCAACAACAGAAACAACTGGAGCATATTCGCTAGGAAGCCCCTCAAGAATCACATCAATGTGATGAGAGCTGGGAATAGGATCTCCAATTGAGGCTAGAGCATCCACAGTAGCGCGAATTTTCAACAAATAGTCAGAAACAAATTGAGATTCCAGAGTTAGGGCACGCAATTCCACACGCAACTGGCGTGCACGAGCACGAGTTTGCTTCTGGAAATAGCTGAATAGACGATCCCAGAGCTGATGCGAATGAGAGCATCCAAGGACACGCGACAGAATTTCGCTCGAGAGTGTGGATTGAAGCCAAGATAGAAGCAACTGATCTTTCTGAAGCCAAACAGAATATGCAGGATTAACCATACCTTGGCGACGAGCATCATCGTCCAAAAATTTGGACGGAATCCGAGTGCACACCACGAGATCCGTGAGATTATGCGCGTTGATGTAGGGTTCCACTTGTTGACGCCAGAGATGAAAGTTTTTCTCATCGAGTTTGTGCGCGATTTTGAGAGAGAATTGGAGATGACGCATTTCAGCAGTCGCCGCCGTGAACGATGAGGCCGGCATTGTGACGTTAGCGGAAGACGACGATCCCGGTGACGCCATGGATCGAGAATGGCTTAATCTGATACCATGATAGAAGACATAGCAGAGATAGAAAATATAGGGAAGCTTTTCATTTCTGTTATTTGAACTGCAAAGTTAGTTACAGATAGTGCACACAGTTGCATTTATAAGGCAATCTGTGTGACCTGCTACAGCAGGTAGGCAAGCATACAGGACATGACAAGTGCCAGTCATAACAAGCTTAAAACAAGGCTTAACACTTCTATTATTTGCCTTACTCTAATAGCTGTGAGAATCAAATATTGGTAGTTCAAATACAGAAAGAATCAGAGTCAGATAAGATGTTGTCAATGCATACCTGGCCAAGCTTAATTTCTCCTCTATTTGGATTGTAAAGCACATGAATGTTGCAAACCACAACTTTACGAGAACCTGTCAAGCTGAAAAATGCTGCATTTATGTTATATTGCGCAAACAAAGAAATCCATCTTCCCTTCATAAAATACGAATGATGATTTTAAAAAATTAAAAGAAAAGTTGCCCTATAAGGCTATTAACACCTCAGTCATTAGAAGAAAAGTTGCAAGCCTCCTAATACAATCAAGGCTCAATTAAAATTATCTCGTGACTTTGTGCACCATTCTAAAGCTTTATGCGGGCAGTGTAAGATACTCTTGTGAACCTAGACACAGTCTCTAAGTCTTTTGGTAGATCACAGTTAAGTCTCTTCAAGTCTTAAACCTCATAAGCACAGTCATGTTGACCGTAATTAAAACCACATTCTGCAGATAAATATTATATTTCTGTATGTATCAGTGGTCTTCCACAATATTTTGCAACAGTGTTTCTTTTCTTTTTATGGGAGAGGTGAGCAGTCAGAAGAGACATATCTTTCTTAAAGTGGAGTTTGTGGTTTCTTAACGGTTGAAACAAGCAGGGGGCATTACTTTCATCCTTGGATGATGTGTGGATACTCTAAATGGTTACTGCAACTAGCTGGTACAGGAACTTATTGGGTTTGTACTCGATACATTCATCCTATGATGATGCAATTGTTTGAGTTCATTTTGCTCAAGCATAGCAATGGGCCAACATTACTCAAATACACACACCAATCTATATAAAACAGAAAGTTAAGCTACTTTGTTTGGTTTGCTCCTAAATGCAACAAATATTATTTCAACCCTTTGTGCCCCTTTATAGAAGTTTTTAGTTATGTTATGTACATCAAAGAATTTTGTTGGAAACTTCAAGTTAGAACACTATGGAAAGTGTTCATCAAAGGTGTCTTAGAAATATTTATGTATCCTCTGGTACCTGTGCCGCAGTTTTTAGCACAGAAGCATGAGAACTTCTAAAATGGTGAAGTACCCGAACCAGATGATTTCAGAGTGAAATTTATGATTTTCTCATATATTAATGTAATAATATAAAGTTATTTAAGTATATCAGTTTCTTTGTAGTTGTAACTTAATATAATTTTTAAAGTTTTAAACTTCTATTACGATGTTTTGCTTTTAATTGAACAATCTAACTCTCTCATGTTACATTATATAAAAAGATTCTCATAGATTTTATTGGCAACCCATACCTTGATTTTTTTTAAAGCTGTACTTCTTACCTGGCCCATACCTATGCATCTAAGGTTTTTTGAAAATGTCACATCCTATACAACCACCTAGCTTCTTCCTTAATGTGTCACAGTAAACAATCAATAAAACTACATAGCTAAGAACTATTTTCAATTAATGGATGTAATTTTTCACCAGTTTAAACTAGATTACATAATCTATTGAATGTCCAGAACACACAACTGTTTGTGCTTTGCTGCAGACTATCTTATTTAACCCACTAATGCATATCCAACAATAGCAAGGCTGGGAGAAATTATTCATAAAAGATTCGTGAATGGTTTTTATATTCAACATAACCCCTCGTTGAGGTGCACTCCGGGCTTGAGGTGTGGACAGTGAAGAAGCCCACCCAACCTTGTGCTGAATTTCAATTTTTTATCTAGAGGAATGTGGGTAAAAAAAATCAAACTTCACCTAATACTATGTCATTAACCATCTATTTGAAATGCTTAAACTATTTAGTGAAAACAAATTAATGGCATTTGCATCTAATAGAACTATAAAGATTTGGTTAGCCAACAGCATGGAGTAATTACCTGGGCGGGAGAGAACCATTTTGATTAACGAGCTGTTCAATGGAGTCGCATAAGAAAGAAATAGAAGCACAATAGTGGTGAAAAGTAGGATAACTGAAGATTTACAGTTTGTCTCAATAGAAATTGACAAAGTCAAAAAAGGCCAGTAGGGAGATTTTATATACCTCTAGTACACATATTTGAGCAACATTGTCTCTAAGACCCAACTTATTGAACTCTATGCATCCTTCATATAACAAATTGAACCTATGATAAAAGAAGGATAAGTAATATTATATTTGTTAGAAAAAAAAATATTTGTTAGAAGCGCGGAATGAGATAGATATTGAGTATCAACAAGATCAAGAATAAAAGTATAAAAGAAAATAGCGACAGATAACACCAAGTTAGTCCAGGTTTATGATAGGAACCGGTTCAGATTCAGATTATGAATAGAAAGAACAAAAATTCTTGAATGTTTGAGAGATCCAGGACTCTCCCAATTCTACAACAACAACAACCAAGCCTTCTCCCACTAAGTGGGTCGGCTACATGGATCAAATTACGGCATAGTGTTCTAATAAAGACCATGTTTCTATCTAATTTGTTAACCTCGAGATCTTTCTCTACCCCTAGTTGTTTGACTACTCTCTATCTGATCAACTCTCCTTACATCAGAATCCACAAGTCTTCTACATGTTCAAAATACCTACTCCTAGTCTTACACATATCCTACGCAACATTCTCATCTAAGCTACACTTAGTTTATTCTTATGCTGATTTTTAATTGCTCAACATTTTGTCTCATACAACATCGCAAGTCGGTCTTCCAGTTGTTGGATAAAAAATTTCCTTCAGTTTTAGTGATACTTTCATATCACAAAAACATTTGAGACCCTCCTCAATTTCAATCACCCAGCTTGAATTCGATAGTTTACATCTACTTTTGTTTCTCATTGTTTTGTTCAATGGACCCAAGACATTTAAACCGCATAACTTGTGGTATTATATGATCTCCAACTTTCACATCTAGGTTATAAACGTTTCTCTTTTTGCTAAACTTAACTCTTAGGCGAAATCCATACGTTTCTAAGGCTCGTCCCCAAGTATTCAACCTCATTTAAATCCTCCTTTGACTCTCCAAATAGGACTATATCATCAACAAAAAGCATTCATCTTGGTGCTAGCTCTCATTTAAAGTAAAAAGATAAGGGCTTAAGGTTAAACCATGGTGCAATCCTGTCTGTAAGAATACTGAATTATTCTGGAATGCTTGAGTGAAATTCCACTCAGCTGACATGCTTTTATACACACTAGAAATTAAATACAATGTGAGAGTTACAAGGACATTCAATGTAGCTTCTAGTTTCTGATGTTGTTTCTAGGTCCTAAGTACATGAATGTGATTTACTAGGCATTTAATTAGTTATGAATCTTCTGAACATATTCCAACTTATTATACAATTCCAACACTATTGTTATGGGAAAATCATTCATTGCTCCACCGTGTGTCTGCACACTAGTCGATACTCCCACATATATATTTTTGATAGATCGAATATAGGCACTCTATCATACGTCTTCTCCAAATTAATGAAAACTTAGTGCAAGTCGTGTTATTCTATCCGATACTGCTCCATCATACATCGTAGTAAATAAATCGCTTCTATGGTCGACTCCCAATTCTAAGTACCACAAAATGATTGACTCTCCTCAAACCCCCTATTGCTATTTATCAGTAACAAACCTTACTTTCCTAAGTAAATCCCCAACTAGCCTAAAATTAACTAACTACAGTTGACCTATCAGTTTACTAGAGAGTACTAGTTAGAATTTGTTAAGAATAATTACTGAGCAATCCCCAAGGCGTAGCTCGTGTGGTTGAGACCCCCGAAGGCATTCAAGAAGGTGATCCAAAGTCCAAGCGCTACCTACTAACATAATCTACTAACGGCTAACATTTGTTTACAGAAAATTTACTAAATGAAATAAAGCTTCGATATAACAACTTGATAGGTCTCTTCTGGTCTAATTATTATATGATTTTAGATTAGCGCTCTATGATATAGCATTCTAAGTTTAAGTTATTAAAATAATGAATAAGCCAGATATGGGGAGAAAAGAATGTGCATACTTTTTTCCAAAAGATACACAAAAACACTATGTGCACAAATAAAGTATATAGAGAACCTTGATGTTCGCCAAAAGATTGCACAACCATCAACTGGATTGCCCGTACGCATCTATAAGTACAGAAATGCCGTTAGACTTCATAATGCAACATAACTGTTCATTTTTCTTTGCAAAACAATTGATATAACAAATCCAAAATGAGAATAATTATATCAAAGTTACAACTTGTGGAAGATATAGAGAAATGAAAATGTTGCAAATCTATCATTATATGATACACCCACTTATACAAAAATGCTTAAGTAAAAATAAAGTTCTATGTTTAAATAGCCAATGTCAGCATTTGTACTCCCAAAAATGACTGAAATCTACAAATCCAAATGAAAGGGACGTTCATATATTTATGACGAAATATTATGTAACGTTTTTCACAAAGTGGGGTTGGCTGTAAGGATCAATTAACACTATAAAGTTCAAGCAAGTATTGGTTCCAAAAATATATCATTGATAGTTTGATAATCACAAAATTCAAAGTAGAAATCAAAAAATTCTACTTATAAAAAGTGGCACTGGCAGCACTGAATAAAAAAAACACAGTAGGAATGCTTATGTCATGTAGCCTTCAAACACAAAACTCTTCAAACAAACCTTCCAGATGCCTCTGTATCCTTTAAACTTCAAATCCTCCACTAACTCATCAAATTTATCAACCTCCTGGAAGTAATGGAATAAGATCAAAACAATTAATCAGATTTAGTATCCATGAAATTAACAATTAAGAAAGAATCATGATATGATCAGCAAAGAAGGCCTGAAAAAAAATTCCAAACACAGAAATCTTGCTGAGATGTTAATGCAAATAAAAAATCTAGTTTGAAAAACTAATATAAAGTACTTTTTGGCAAATGATGTAAAATATGTGATAAGATATAAAAATCCAAGTCTGATGCCAACAACTATAAGTGAAGAATCTCTTTTGCAATATATCATTCTATGTATTACTACTGCCCAGTACAACATCTATAATTCATGTTATAATTATTAAACAAGCCAAACCAAATTTTACAACAGTGTTACAATGTATGGTCCCAATCAGCTTAAATAGCATATTTGGGCAAGAAGTTAGCATTGTGGCATAATATGAAACAGATTGGTAACCTGAAAACACATGATATCGGCAGACCACAAGCCAAGCTCAGAAATTATTTTACTCTTTCTCCACTGCCAGTTCAACATGTAAGGAGGTACATGATAGTAAAGTTTTTTCCAGTGGTCCATAGCAAGGTAATCGGCCAATATATTATAGGAAAGAACTTTAAACCTTTCTGCTGAAAATAGAAAAGCAATCACAAGGCACAAGCTAAATTAGTCTGATCATGCATTGATGGAAAACTCCAAAACAATATATCATGAGCAACAAAGAGTGGGAAGGGGGAGGAGTGATAAACAATCAACCTTAGACTTATTGTCCTCTCACTCGCCAGATCATCAGATCTTTACACTTTAGACATACTTCTGGTAAAAGATAGAAATGTTGAACCGAGTTTTCTTCTTACCACCCTCATGTTTTCAATATGTTTCCTAAGTAGTAGATTAAGCTCCAACTTAGAACATATTTCTAGCAAAATATTTAAATGTTGAACCTCATCTTTCGATTAAACTCGTGTGCTCCGATAAGCAATACATCACAAATTCAAAAGTGTCATTTACCAAACCATGTATCTGGAATACTGTTTTCTATAGTCATTTTATTTCTTGAATTAATGCCTAAATGCACGCGGTTGAAGTTTACAACTCACATTAACATGAACAATGCAATTAGCAACATTATAAACTCGCATACGGCTAAAAATCCTCATCAACCTAAACCCTAAGTTTTGAATTGAAGCCATAATAAAACCACATGGTACAAGAGTGAAGTTACCACAATGAGGAGGTGGCGGTGTCAAAGCAAGCTCCCACTCTCGATAATCCTGCGGCTTCGGGCGAAAATGCTGTGGCAGACGAAAATCACGCCGGTGATCATACGGCTGCCGAAAATGCGGCGGCTGATGAGGATTCGGACGAGGCCTTGGATTGTAAAACTGATTCTGATTCTGATATTGAGGCGGCGGATAAGGCCTTGGATTGTAAGACTGATTCTGATACTGAGGCGGTGGATGGGCATTGTAAGGTGGATTCTGATAATAAAACTGTGGCGGACGGAACCTCGGATCGTGAGGTGGATTCTGATAGTACTGCGTTTGATTCGCAGAGCTTCCTCTCTCGCCTTGCCGGATTGCTGAATTGGCGTCGCGGACTGACTGTAAGTGATCGTCTCCGGTAACGAACTGGTCTCTCCCGCCGGAGTACGATCGGCCGGAGTATCCTCTACGGGGACCTCGGTGCTGCAAAAGTTGAAGAAGAAAATTAATGTTAATAAGGAGTGTTAAACTTTCAGAGAGGGTTTATGCGTTGCTACTATGAAAATGTTAGTGTGTTACAGAAGAAGAGTGAATACGTGAGGACGTGTAGACATTGTGGCGGTGGAGAAGGCGGCGTCGGTGACGGCAAGGAAGTTGGTACTCGGAGGAGTGCGTCGCATTGTGCGGGAGAGAAAGAGTGAGAGTAGAAGGAGAGCGCGTGAGAACGTGAGGTGGCGTGTTTTGCACGCTCGTTGAGGTGACGCGTCAGGGCTACACGAATCTTAATTGGGCTGAGGCTGACACGTGAGGGAGAGCCACCCTCCAAATTTAACCTGCCACCCCTTAATTTTTGAGATATTACTCTTTACAAATTAAAAAAAAATTTGATAGTGTATATAAAAAATTATGTATGTATTTATACCCATTTTTTTCTAATGTGGGTGAAAATTTATCAGTTTTTTATAACACACCATTTTGTATCGGGTTTATTGTAAAATCTTGAAAAATTCGATTGGATATTTAATGTTTTTGGGTGAAATTTTCTATGTGTAATAAGTGTATAGATCATTTATGTTCTGAATTGGGCCTCCTCTTGGTCCAAGTTTATATAAGGTTCAAACCAGCCGCATTGTCCAAGACCATTTGACCAGGTCAGTCCTCGACGGAGTCGGACAATAATCCTCATTATGATACAGTGGGAGAACTGACTTGGGTGTTTGCGTTTTGGTCGCAATTGTGCGGATAGTAAGAGTCGCCACCGACTTTTCTTTTATCCAAAAAGAAAAGTAAAAAAGCACAGGAAAGACCTTTCGAGATTTATTTCTCGGGTTCGGGGGTAGATTATGAAGAGAGGAGGTATTAGCACCCTTTTCATCTGTAGTTATCTATGGGCTCTTAGTTACTCGCTAGATCACTTACTTTTACTTTGACAATGTGCTTGTGGTGTGGGCTTTGAAGGTATTTTGAAAATATCTTTGTAATGATTCTCGTTTCTATAAGAACGCATACAAAGTTTTGTTTCGAAAGATAATTCAAAGATGTGTTTGTGGAATGTGTTTTTGAAAGTGGTTTTTGGAAAGATGTTTTGCAATGGTTCTCGTCTCTATAAGAACGTATACAAAATGTTTTGTCTTTTTGAAAATGTTTTTGACATGAAAGTGTCGGTGTAAAAAAGGTTTTTTGCCGTGAGTAAGCGAGTAACTAGGAGCGAATCTACCTACTCAAAAGGTCTTAAAATGTTCTTTTCTTCCTCCTTTAGATGTTGCTATCTTACCATTGATTTGGTAAGAAGCCCCATCGTTGGATGTGAAGGGACAGGCGCGGGTCAATCGTACAGTCATCGAAAGCAACTTGTGAGACGCTTTTAGCAATTTTCGTAAGGGACTAGATCGTTTTGTCGAAGGCAACATCGAGGGTCATCGAAGGACTACGATCTTTTATCGAAGGGTCTTTGCTAAAGCGTCCCATATTCGAGGGACATGGCTTTATTTCCGAGGCAACAAGCGGGGTTATCCTAGAGGTACGCGTGTGAAAAGTGTTTTTGATTCAAGTTAATTTTGTCTTTGAAATTAGGTTATCTAGCGATTGATTTTAAATCTTGCCATACATGCCTAATTACTATACAGTATAAGGAAAACAGTAAATTGTGGAAATGGAAATTCTACGCTATTACAGAGCTTTTCGGGATTGGGTGTACACATTTTTACAAATGGGGATGAGTCGAATGCGATTAAAAGTATAAATAGCAAACAATACAATCAAATCGAATTTTGAGCGATTAATTAAAGTCATAACAGTCTAGAAAATAAGAATTAATTAAAAAAGTATGGAAGTAAAAATTCTTGTTATTTGTTTATGAAAGTAATGGAAAGAAAGATAGAAAAATCCATTCTATTAATTAGCTAAAAAGTTAAATGAAATGCATGTATTTTTAGGGTTTTTGTTATTTAGAAATTAAATGAGCAAATTAAAGCTTAAGCACAAAATAATTAGTAAAAATTATTTACAAAGTTTTTTCCTAAATTAAATTAGAACTAAGCTAAATTGTGAAACTTAATTAACAAAATTATGATTTATTAAATTAGTAAAACCAAATTAAATAATTAAAACAAAACAAAATGGAGGGGTGGTGTTAAATTGAAAAAATGAGGTGATATTGTCCTTTTTTTTTAGTATGGGCTTTAGGGGGTTAAGCCCCATGGTTTTTTTTTTGTTTTAACAAAAAAAATATGAAAAAAACAAATCAGAAAGAGATAGGAAAAAACATCCCTAGGGGTCTCGAACCCGGGACCTCCTCTTCCAAACGCTAACGCCTTAACCATCACATCAAACGCTCATTCATTATCTTAATTACTTTCACAAATATATATTGTGAAACTTAAAAAATGGGTTGGGCCAAAATAAACCAGGCCCAAACCCGGTTTTAGGAAGGGATTGGAAGGGGTGGAACCCTAAACAGAAGAAAGAAATTGTTGTTGTTGTTGTTTCAATTTGGGAAAGGAAAACAAAATTGGAAAAAACCTATCTCTCTTCCTAATTCCCACGCTAATCTTCTTCCTCCCTCTCTCTCGATACCTCTGCTCTAATGTTTTATCATCCTTCCCCTCTGTTATCTCTCTTGTCTTTAGCTAAAATCGTTCCCAGCGAAACCCTAAATTCCCAAATCAAAATGCTACAGCGATTCCAACAAGGTAAGGGAAGGTAAGAGCGAATCAAATCGAAATTAATAATGTGTTACCTCTTTTTCAGCCTCCAAGGTATGTTCTGAATCTATGCTTTGCCTCTTCTTCTGATTTGCGTATGATTTTTTTTATACGTTTTTGGATTTGTAGAGATGGTTAGGGTTTTGTATTGTTTTGGTTTTTGATGGCTTGTTGATCTTACAGTGAGGTTTGGTTTTGTATTGCTTTGGTTTTTGATGGCTTGTTGATCTTACAGTGAGGTTTGATTTTGTATTGTTTGGGTTTTTTGATGGTTCGTTGATCTTACAGTGAGATTTGGTTTTGTATTGTTTTGGTTTTTGATGGCTTGTTGATTTTACGGTGAGTTTTGGTTTTGTATTGTTTTGGTTTTTGATGGCCTATTGATCTTACAGTGAGGTTTGGTCTTGTATTTTTGGTTTTTGATGGCTTGTTGATCTTACAGTGAGGTTTGGTTTTGATGGAATCAAGTTGCTGGTTTGGTTTTGCTCTTGGTTCGTATCTTTTCTGGTTTGCTGTTTTGTTTTGTATATTGCCTTGGCCTCCTCTGCTTTGTGAAACAGCCATTGGTATTATAATGAAAAACAGGGTGAAAAGTGGGGGGGGGGGGGGGGGGGGGGGGGGGGGAAATCTTAGGGTTTGAATATTTTCTGATATGTTGACTTTGAAATCTTAAGGTGTAGGCCTTAAGTTGCCTCTTTTATGTAACATTTGGGTCGAGTTTGGGCAGAGTTGACTTTGGCATTTAGCAGGATTTTGGACTTCATTGGTTTGTGGTGATATCTCTTTCATCTTTCCTCTTTCCCTTTTCTATGAAACAAAAGCAGTTTTTTGCTTATTTTTTAAAATTCTGAAGGGTTTGCAGCATTAGAAAATGATGATGCATTTTGTTTGTTGAGCAAGCTTGCCATGTTGTTTTGCTGTGATACTTGTTTGCAGGCTTGCCCTGCTGTTTTATTGGTTGCAGGTTTATTGGCTTATGCATTTGGCAGCTTGCTTGCTTGTTGTAGGTTTGTAGCATGCTTTTGCTACTAAGTTTACAGCAGCTGCGGCATATATTTGTTGTTGTTTAGACAACCTGCCTTTTGCTTGGACCCTGCTGTGGTATTTTGTTGCTGTTTTGACAGCCTTGGGCTTGCTTGCTGTTTTGGTTGGCTTTGCAGGCTTTGGACAACATGCTTGCTGCTATATGGTTGCCTTGCTTTGTTGACTTGTTTGCTGCAAATGTAATGCAACCTTGTTTTGTTTGGACTGTTGCAGTAGCTTGTTTCTCATTTGTTTTGCAGTTTTTGACTTTGTCTTTGTAATGCTTGCAAATTTCTCTTTCCCTTTTTTGTGAACCAAGAAGGGAAACCCTTTTTTGTAATTTGCAATTGGGGCAAATGGATTGTGATAAAACAAACAAACATTTTGATTCCAAATTGTAAACCCTAATGATGAATTATTCTTTTCACATATTATTTCACTTTGAATTTTTTGCTAACTTTTCTTTTCTTGTTTCATGAATGGCAAGCGAGACTTGGATGCAAATGATGGTTGGATGGCTTACTTGAAGATGAAGCCACGAAGAAACAACACCCCCTCTTTGAAAACAAGAAATTGTAACTCTTTGTAAATAAGACAAAATTTTGTAATTTACCTTTATTTGCGATGTAACAATACAAAGCCTTGAACAAATTTGTGTGATGGGATTTTTGTGCAGATATTTGTATCCTAAATGAATTTTTGAAATTCCCAATTGGAATGGTTTGAAATGAAATATTTTAGTCCGATAACTTGAATTCTAAGTAATCACAAATGATCTTGTGATTTATATTTCAAACAAACATGCACCTTGTACTCTAATTTCTAAACAAAATAAATGTTTAAGAATGTAACTCATTTGATCAATTTGAATCCAAAATCATGATTATTTTAAATGATAGTCTTAATCTTCACATCTTGTCCAAAAAAATATGCCCTGAGAACAATCATCAATCTTTCAGTAAATTGTGGTTAAGAAAAATTCAAAATCAACAAATGCCTTGTGACGATTCGATAATTTAAAAGTCTTCCAAATACAACTTTCTTTTGATTCTTTGAAAATAAACATGTGAGCGTCATCACATATGACCATGAACAGAAATAATCGTCTCAAAGCCCTGTAATTTGAAGAAATCACAATTCTTAGAAATCAGACGACTGTTATTTGAAATTAGGTCAAAATTCATGATGCGACTTTCAACGCATTCGAATTTTGGTGATCTTCTATGCATAATCAGTTCTTGATTTATGGAGAGAAATTGGAGATGGCATCAAGGAGAATCATACGCAAGAAAAATCTCTCAAAAATATTGAATAATGAAGAAGTTGCGATCATTTGAATTTGTTCTCGCAAAAGGTCAATTTTTGGGTCGATGTAGTTGTTTTCAATTATTTGAACCATTGATTGAGCAAACTTGCAATGCGAGGTTTGAAAACTGGCTTAAATAAATCTTGAG